AAAAAAAAAAAAAAAAAGCTAATTATATACAATATTAACTTCAAAATGTGCTTTCTACTATTTTGACTGAACTCATTTCTACACCTAGCAAGTTTTGTTTTTTTTTTTCTACTATCTACCAGTGTCTGCACAAACTATGGCTGCCAGGCAGCATACACACTGGGTCCCACAAACGGTGCAGCCCCATGGGTATAGAAGGACTGTTCACTTCTGGAAGTATCAGACTGGCTGTGCTTGCTGTCAGGGCCTCTGCTCGCATAGCGGGAACCTGTGCTCCTGAGTGCATGCTGGGCCGGCCCAGAGATGAGCCTGTGTGACTGCTCTGCATTCTGGTTTCTCTTCAAAGGAGTAGTTTTAAAATCCATGTTAAAAAAGAAAGTTTGGAGCAGTGTTTATGTAAATGAAAACAAGTTGTTTGCTGGGGAGAGGCAGTGCAGGAGCAGTGCAGGAAGAGGAAGGTGAAGGATACAGGCTCTGCTGGAACTGTCAGTCACAGGGGAGAGGAGCAGGAGCGAAGGCCAGTAGTGCTCAGCTGAAGCACGGCCAGAGTTTCCACTGTTTCCAAGAAATGATCGCGTGGTGTGTGGTGTGTTGCCTCAGGAGACTGCCACTGTGCCACCCCTCAGGGAGGCGGGCCGTGCAGAGCAGACTCTGAACCTTCTATTTGCTCTTTCTCTTTCCCTCTCCCCTCTCCTTTCTCTCCTCCCTTCCCTCTTCCATGTTATTTTTGCTACCTTTGCTGTTTTAACCTGTCAGTTACAGAATAATTACTATGTCACCATGGCTGGCGGCTCACAGAGGAGAAATCTGCCGTCTCTTAATCAGAGGTGATTACAGTTTTTCCTGTCTGTAAATGTGCGTGTTGAGTAACGAGAAGGCATTAGTCTCAGGCTGATGTGCCGATTGAAAGGCAGCAAGAAGCAGCAGCATTGTTCTCTCTCCAGGCGTGTCTAATGAGTCGTGTTTCTGTGTTCTGTTGGTCACGCCGACAGTGCCCTCCGCCAGGGCTCGCTCAGCCTCCTGTAAAATGCTCCGTAAGATTATCGCAGCAAGGACAGCAGTGCTGCCTGAGCTGGGGGCGGGGGGTGCCAAGAAGACAGCTGCGTTTCAAACAGTTACAGAGTCGGGGTTACTCAGAGTGATAGATAGCTCTGACAGCCACTGTTGAGCGTCAGTGTAAAAGGCAAGTCGGGACCTATCCTGTCAGAATGTCAGTAGCAAGATGGAGTGCGTGTTTATGTTTCAAAGCAGATCGCCTCTCAAGAGAAGGAAGAAAAGGTTTTAATTTTTACTGTTTAATTAAGAGCAACACTGAAACCCAGGGGCTAAGTCTTCTTGCCTAACCCAGCCATCTTAGAGGAAGTTTATCTGAAGCATCGACAGATTGAGGTGAAAGTGCCCTCACTGAATCTCATATGGATATCAATCATATATGTGTGTGCTGTCTGTGGGACCTGTATACCAACTACATGCATGCTTTTCATTAACACTGAACAGTCTTGATGCCTGCAATGGTACTCATACCTGTAATCTGGAAGCTAAAGCAGTACTGTCATGAGTTTGAGGCTAGCCTGGGCTATACTGTGATAATCTGCACAGAAACACCCCCCCCCCATTTAATTTTTATCTCATGCTGATCCCTTATAATTTTGGAACATGTAGCTAGTTGTTTAATAAACATCAGCCTAACTTCAGTTGAAGTGGTGTGTCTCACAAAGACAGACTGGAGTCCACTGTGAGGCGCAGAGTGCCCACTCAGGAGCCAGAGGTCTCTGCCAGGTGGGGGCTGCCCTTAAGACCCATGTCCATTTTTTGCATTAAGAGCATAAGATAAAAAGGGAACTTTCATTCTAGCATGCTTGAAGAGAGTGATGAGTGGGTGCTGGGGCTTGGCCTCGAGTATGACACACACTTGACAAGTCCTCTTTCAGTGAGCAACCACAGGGACTTGGGGCTGTTTTCTTCTGCACAGCTGTCTTCTGAAGGTCTTACTCAGTGTATCTAGAAGTCTAATTCTCTGACCTCCTTTAGTTGAAAATTTACTGGCTTTACACAAGTCCTGTGATCCATTGAAATGCTAACATGGGTCATGTCTCAGCTGCCACAGCCGAGCAGAAACCCTCATTAAAATTCTGGTTATCTTGCAACTGGCAGAGGACCCATGCTGTTAGAGGCTCCTGAGGAAGACATTAGCCTGGTGAGATTGCACTCACAGCCACACTTGTGTCTGCTGAGCATTATCAGGGTTGTTATCCTTTAGCATTGCAGATAGGTCAGAGAAACTGTGCTTCTGCATCTGTCTCTATGCCTACCATTTTATCCTCTGAGCCATATTTGACTGATGAATTGACAGTCGACAAGCTAAATGCATTTCTGTTATAGATTTGTTAAGTGATACCAAGTGTTCTACATCCACGACAAGTTCAAGAGAGTGGCGTACTGAGTTAGGTGTGATTTGATATAAATAAGTCTATTTAGTTATTAATGACTTCAAATAGATTTTACAAGGCAATCAATGACAGCAAAATGGTGATCAGTCAATGATACTTTGTGTAATTGCATTTTTTTTACGGATATAATGCTATATTTCAGAGTTAATGTGACATGTTACTTTGTTATTCAATTTTTTGTTAAGTCAAATTTTTTTTAGAAATCAGATATGTCAAAAATTGAGATCTTTAAGTATTATTTGGCACAGTCCATAGGTAAAGTTGATAAATGTCATTTTGCAATGCCTATTTAGTTTCTAGTTCTCAGGAGGTAGGTGTGAGAAGTGGAGAGTTTAATTTGTAAGACTGTTTCATGCATTGGACAACAGAGTTGAAAACAAAAGGCAAGGAACAGCTAGGGCCTCATTCTCCGATGGATTCCTGCCCCTTAGCCATGTGTCACAGCAGATCTAACAAGGGACGTCCTCTCCTGCTGCTGCTTCTTTTTTAAAAAAGTCTGTTTTGTCTTTGTAGGGTTCAAACAAAACTTGCTTTTCAGTAGTTTAAGTGGCTGAATGAGAAATTCTGTTTCCCACTAGACCCCCCCCCGCCCCCCCCTCCACAGAGGCCAGTGTGCTTGCTGAGCTCCCGTTCTGGATAATAGGTTTCCGTAGTTCTGTTGCCTGAGGACAACAGCACTGGGGTCCTCAGAAGCGTTTCTGAAGGCTAGATGTTCATTTCAGTCCTTGCTGCAGAGTGATACATGAAGGGGAACATGTATCACAGCTCATAGGAGCCCTGTTCCTTTAAAGCAGTTCCAGTCTGGACTGCACACAGTGCGGATGGATGCAGGAATGAGTGAGGTGGCCCCTCCCTACCCTCCTGGGCATTTTCCCTTCCTCCTCTTCCTCCTCTTCCTCTTCCTCCTCCTCTTCCTCCTCCTCCTCCTCTTCCTCCTCCCCCTCCTCCTCCCCCTCCTCCTCCCCCTCCTCGAGCAGGATGGTGTCTGCTGGGAAACTGCACGCTGTTACTTTGATAATTTGACACATTGACACCTGAGCACTTGGAACCTTATACATGGCCTTTCTCTTTAAAAAAAGCATACCAATTCTGTAAGATGCATGTTTTAAAAGTTGGAAAAAGTTGTAAATTGTGAAGATTTTGAGTATTTGGATACTAAGCAGTAATTACTGGTATTTAATTTTGTTTTTAATAAAATGGTGCCTTCTGAGAAATGTTTAGTACTTTTACACTTTATCTGAATGAGGATAGTATTTCAAAAGCTAGGTGACAGCACTTTAAACAGCTTTACCACCACAGCAAGGTGACACTGCCAGGAGTCTGGGTCTGCACACCGCAGCTGAGGCAGGCTCACTTCTGTTTGCCATTCTTAATCCACTTGACCGGTAACAGTTACAGCTGGAGGGCAGGGTTTGCATTTAGGAATTCTTTGATTTGATTGACACTTTCCACGTGTGTGTGTGTGTGTGTGTGTCTGTGTCTGTGTGTGTGTACACAGAGCTATTTGATTTCTTGTGTCTTTTTCTTCTGATACAAAAACATTTAAATTAATAAATACAACCTATAAAACAGTTTTCTTACTATTTTTTTTTATTCATACAGAATTAATATCTAACTGGGAAGCTTTAAGTCTAGATTTAAAATGTTCTATTTATCACTGAATGACTTAGGTTTCATGAAGGGACTGCCCCTTTGCTTTAGGTTCCCACAGATTTGTGACCATTGCCTTTGTCCTCGGTGTCTAGGTTTCCTTTTCACTCAACAGAACCTAACTCCACTGAAGAGTGTAGCAGCATTAACTCCCCAACCTCCCAGATCCTAAGAGGAAGGGCTGCCCCACTGCCTCCACTTCCCAGTGGCTGCCCTTCTCCCCTGTCTTGAGTCAAGCTTATTTAACTTAAAAGGAAATCATCTATTTTGGAGCTCCCCCTTACATAATTATGAAAAGAACTTTAGGACTGCATGGGTACTGGATTCGTCTAGAGTTACTTACCCTATGTCCATGGCAAAGCTTCCTTCAGAGGAAACACACATGCTCAGTGCTTGTAGAATTATAAGTCCAGGAAACAGTTTAATACTGTAGCAACAGTTCATTTTTCACAATAGCTAAATTCTTTAAAAATCCCATCGAGATAGACTTCCAGCTAAACAACTGTATATAATTCAGAGACTTTTGCGAATTGGCTAGGTAGTACTTTATGGTATCTTTGTTGTTTTTTAATAGAGGTTGCTCAGAGTTAGTCCTTGAGACTTGGGAAAGTTGCCCTGAGACTCTCAGAGGTGACTTGCACTTTGAAGGCTGGAGAGGCCAATGGGCCTGCATGGCCCTCAGAGCACCCTGGGAAGGCTCAACCCTGTTCTCTTCCTCTGCATTCCTGCCTTCCGCTAGGACAGCATTTACTGCTCCCTTCCTGTTCCCTGTGAGACTGAGGTGAAGCCCTTTGAATTAGCTCATTAACTTTGCATTAGAAAAATGTGTCAAAGTTTCTTTTTATTTGGATGTCCTTTTTACTGGTTCTTTTTTTTTTCTTTTTTCTTGTTTCTTTTCAGTTGTGGAAGAAGGACTCTGGGAAAATGGCCTTTCCTATGAATGTAGAACGCTGCTCTTCAAAGCAATCCACAATCTGTTAGAAAGGTAAGAAAGGGGCTGTGGCCTGACTCTGCTCAGGGTGCCCGGAGTCCACTCGGGCTTTAGTCATGGGGTCATCTGCAATATGAGAGCTACGCTTTTATATCTCCTTTTGTTTTCTACTGTAGAGAAGTTTAGGGGCAGCATAGAGGTCCCCT